TCTAAAACTGTGTTCTAGCTCTGATCTCTCTCACTTGCTTTTTGTGATGTGTTTAGAATAAGAGCTGAAGGTCTCTTTTTATACTACTCATGGACTTGCCCACCAAGCCGGAAATTTAATGTTGTTTCCATATTTGGGTCGGCCAAAACTTTCTCACAAAGGCTTATCGAGTCTCTGCAACTCTTTCCTTAAACAACTCCCGCAGGACCGACCTTCTTTCCTGATATCCCATCAATGACGACTTGACGAACTTGCCTTACTTGGAAACGCATTCCCGAATGACCGAACTTCCCTTAAGTGGCCTTGCAGCCCGTCGATCCATTTATTAAACTTGATTGCTCGTTGAATTGTTTACTTGTTTATTAAACATTTTGATAGTACCAATGACCGCTGATAGTTAGAGAAAATCTAGTTCTTATTCCATTCATAACAAAACAAAAGTTCCAACACTTAGAGAAAAATTTTAACTTCCTTACAAGAAACCTCTTTCTGGGCGCATTCTGTTATAAATAAAAAAATTCTGGGAGCGGATCGTTACAGTTTAGACTACTTTAATGAAGATCAAAGCTTGTTCAATATGAGTTCAGATGACCAACTCAGCCTATCCAGAATTCCATCACACATCGATTGATACGTGGAGAATCACATCGACCGATATACGTTGGGAATTTTGGAAACGAGCCTTCAGATCCGGGATTCTCCAGTTCTTATGGGAAAAGAAAGACGAATATGGTGTTTACAGAGATGAGAAGGGTTTCGCAAGAGGAGTAGATGGAGACATCATACATGTTTCCAAAGAAGATATGGGGAAGTTGCTGAATAGAGCCTCACTAATGGAGCGCTCTTGTTTCTGTTTACCAGAGCACGCTGAACAGTTTGCTAAAGGAGTTCCAGTTTGCAAGCTCTACACACAAGCAGAGGTCACCTACATGATCAATGGCAGAGTTGGTGAACATAACTGGGAGATGGCATCACTGAGGTCTGAACATGAAAGAGCCATAGCATCACTTCAAGGAGAATTACATTGGAATAAGACTGGCAATGACTTAGCTCGCAAAGAGAAGAACGCCCTGCAAGAAGAAGTGAATGCACTTCACGAAGAACTAGAATCTCAGAAGCAAAAATCGACCGATACAGCCTCAAAAGCATCGATCGATACCAGCATCAACAAGCCTATCGAGAGTCAACTACATGAGCTATCGATTGATGACCCACCCTGTACATCGACCGATATTCAAGCACCAGAGTTCTGTACCAAAGAAGAGATTGAGGACATCACAAGAGATATCTACAAAGCTATTGAAGATTGTGGAGACGAAGCATACAGATTACTAGACAAGATGTGGTTCCCACAGAGTGACATTCAAGGATTGGAATGTACAACAGCAGAAATTCAGAAGGAGATCAACAACATTCAGAGACAGCTCGCCAACCGACCTGCACCATCCGCATCGATCGACGTACCTTCCAGCCCATCGACCGATAGACATCCTTCCACATCGACCGACAGAAATATACAGAGATCGGTCGATAACCCTTCTACCCATGTGCAAAACATCCAATACCTCGACACAATACAGCTGAGTATTGATCTAGAACACACCTACAGCTGAGTATGTCACCTGGGTAATGCAGCAGGTCAGAAGCTGAATGGTCAGAAGGAGATCATTCCTGAGCAAGAAACAGCACCTACATACCTCATTCAACCTGTAGGAGAGGCTAACAGAGCCAGAACTTTGGCTGACTACAACCGTCCGGATCAGTTCTATAACAACCAATCAGCCATCCGCCCTCCTGCTATTCAGAGAGGAGATTTCGAGCTCAAGCCGCAGTACTACACACTTGTAGGACAAATACCCTTCTGTGGGTTGTCCCATGAGCATCCTATGGACCATCTGGAGAGGTTCGAGGATCTAATAACCGTCATAAAAGCCAATAGAGTCCCTCAAGACTATCTTCTCTGCAAGCTTTTCAAATACTCTCTATCTAGAGAAGCTTTGCAGTGGCTGAGACAACTACCACCAGGTTCTCTCACAACCTGGAGCGACATCAAAAACGCATTTCTGCATAACTTCTTTTATGACTCATGCGCTGAAGAATGGAGGAGGAAAATTGCTACATTCACTCAAGATTCTGGAGAATCATTTAAAGACACATGGAACAGATTCAAATCCTACCAGCGAGATTGTCCACACCACGGATTCAACAACGTGCAACTGCTCTGCACTTTCTACAGAGGCGTCACCTTGAAGTATCAGATGGCTCTCGACACAGCTAGTGAAGGCAATTTCACCACCAGGAATCCGCAAGAAGCTGTGAAGTTGATTGACAACCTAGCTTCAAGCAACATCACAAAGAACACTACGAAGACAAAAGCTACATCATTCCTTGGGAAGGAACAGATTAATGAAATGCAAGCGCAGCTGGATCATGTTCAGAAGTTACTAAACAAGCAGATTTGCTCAGTGGAGGATGCCGAAACTGCAGCTGAAGAAGAATACACAGAAGAAGATGTGAACTGGATCAGTGGAACTGGATTCCAGAGGTCTGGTAACCAAGGAGGATACAGAAACTTCACATGACAGAAAAGCAACTTCAACAAGAGTTCACAAAAGCCTACCAACTACAGCAGCAGCAATCTCAACAACAACATGAGTTATGGTAACTCATTCTACTCACATCCACCCCACCCACCCAAGACAGTAAGCTAGAAGAGATGCTAGACAAGGTTCTGGAGAGTCAGCAGAAACTTCAGATGGACTTCAATGGAAAGATAGATTCTGTCTACACCAACCTCAACACCAAGCTTGATGGCTTAAGCACCTATGTGAAGAAGTTGGAGACTCAGGTGGTTCAGACATGAGAAGCAATAAAGAAGCAAGAAATTTTAGCAAAAGGAATGGGAGATTTTGCTACACTCCATGATGTACATGCCATCCTGGATGATGACTTTTGGCAGAAGCTGCAACATTCTGAAGATGACAGTGAGCCAGACTTCGAATTCGACTACTATCGATCGATAGCATCCCCTGAATATCGACTGATACCTTATAGAGTACAGCGATCGATAGACTTTGACGAGAGTCGATTGATGGACTTAGACGAAGCCTCACACGAGTGCAGTGCTGTCAAGATTATGTCACACGAAGCCTTCGCAGCATGACACCCACATCCACTCGTCCCTGTCCAAATCGATTCTCATGACATTGATCGCCATGATGACTCTAACATCGATCGACATGAAGACCGTGATATTGACCGACCCACTCCAGTCATTGTCGCCCGATACACAGTACCCCAACGTTGAGTGCAACTTCCAAAGATCGACGTTGCACGACTTGATGCACTACAGGAGCAGTCTAGAACTCCCAGCAACCTTCCCACCACCATCATGAAGAGACCCACATACATCTATGAGCCCATGGAGATAGAAAAGGAAAATCATGGAAGAGTTCTCAGAAAAAGGAAAGAGAAGATCCCCAAGCATTATAAAAGGGAAGATAATGAGAAGGAATTGTCAAGTTTGAGAGAGAGTTCTGAGAATACCTAAAGCGAAACCCTTTGAAGAAGTTTACTTTTCACACAAACTGTGGATGTTTTTCAGAGAAACCAGAGAGACAGAAGAAGACATCAAGAGAATGTTTCACCAAGCCAGAGACAGTCTAAAGAAGAAAATCACACTGGAGAAGAAGAGCGATTCAGTGAAGTTCACAATACCATGTTCAATAAGAGGTGTTGAGTTCCCTCGTGCCCTCTGCGACACAGGATTAGGAGTTAGCATCCTACCCAAGATCATGGCATACCATCTAGGTCTGAAGATAGAGCCTACTGAAGAATCTTTCATCTTTGTGGATTGTTCTCAGCAGCACTTTGGAGGCATAGTTTGAAACCTTGAGGTACTGATTGGAGATGTCCTAATTCCTACAGACTTCCACATCCTGGAGAACAAGCTCAACTTTAAGACATCTCTACTGCTTGGAAGGGCCTTCTTAGCAACAGTTGGAGCTGTTTTTGACCTCAAATCCAATAAGCTCTGCCTAACCCTCATTGACCCTACCATCCACAACAATCCTGTCCAAGTCATCAGGATTCCAAGGATAGAAAGCCCAGCACTCGTAGCAACTTGCTTTTGTGCCCACGAGTATGATTCCATGGCCGAGTACGAGACACAACCAGACGTATCGACCGACGGAAGTCTCCTTCCATCGACCAATACCAGTCAACCAGCGTCGACCGACGAGCATACATGGTCATCGATCGACAAGCTATTCCAAGAGATCGAAGAGGAGTTTCCAGAAGGCGATTTTCACGCAGATGATTGGGAGAACGATCATTACATCCCAGAACTGGCTAGTATCACCACTCAGGAGGAGTATGATGAAGATTATGAAGAGGAACAAGCCATAGAGTATAGATTTCTTTGGGAAGATGAAGAAAGACCTCCTCTCCTGACCTTCATCTTCAGAGCATCGATCGACAGAGACCACCCTCCATCGACCGATATGCACCAACCAAGATCGCTCAAACGACGTTCCGAATCAACGAGCGACAACCTGTACGTCCCACAAGATACACGAGATGGAGACTACTCAATTGGAAGTTGGGCAAGCAATTACCATGAAAGTTTCGCAGTGGATACAGCACCACTGATGCATGCAACCACACCAGATGCAGACGTATCGACCAACACAGAACAACATCCATCGATCGACACGTCTCTCAACCTATCGACCGATGCTTATGCCAACTTATCGACCGATCCTACCACTGCACCATCCGAGGTACAAACACATAATTTCAATTTTACCTTACTAATTCCGGATGAATTTCGTATTTTCAGGGATCCAGATGGCCATGCACGAGCAATGGATGGAAGAATCATTCCAATCTCCAAAGAAGACGTTGCAGACATTCTTACATCGATCGATACGTGGAGAATCCGAATGCTACATTGTGTCGAGGTATTGAACTCATATTGAATTCTAGCTCTAAAAACAAGAATGCCATGTTTATTAATCTCAAGTAATTTATTCTGTTTTCTTGTTGTTTCAGTATCATACAGGTTATCAGCAACAAATGTCGAATTGGCCTGAGCTTCCTGTTAACTCCATTATCTCTTGGTTATCGTCTCAAACCTCCTCTTTGGTTGTGGCTGTTTTTGGCTGTGGTGAGAGTATTATCTTTATCTTCTTTTTTATACAGCCACGATCATCATCATCATGTCAGTTATTATTTTTTGCTAAGGTGATGCAAGGATTGCAAAGAGTGTGAAGAACAAAATTTTCTCCTTTGATCTCGTCTCAAAGGACCCATCTGTTATTGCCTGTGCTATGTCAAATGTAACGTTCAAATCTTATTGCACTCTTTATACTACTTCCACGATGTTCTTTCTTTTTTCACTATTGCTTTTGTTGTAGACTCGGCTTGAGTCTATATCAGTAGATGTCGCTGTTTTCTGTTGTTTCACTAACGGGAACAAACTATTGTAGTTACATCAAAGAGGCACAGAGTTCTTCGTCCAAGGTTCTGCTGTTTTCTATTACTTTTTTTTTTCATTAAAATATGTGTCATGTTTCTGATTGGGGTGGTATTCAACAGCGGTTGACATCTTATAGCTGAAGTTAAAAGCGGGTTTTTTTTTTTGATTCGTCTTAAAACGCTTAGACTTTCATCTTTGTTTATGAAATTTTGTAAGAGAGAATCAATCACATTGGTCGTCGAAATTAAAATGTTATGGAATTTTATTACCCGTAGTTGGTTTTCCTTTTGACATGTATTATAAGTGTCATTTTTCATTTATCCTGATTTTGTGCTTTAATTTTATTTCTTGAGTTGTGTTTGTTGGCAACGAAAAAAGGAGCTAAAGAGTGATACAATCAAATGTATTTATATAGTCAATCTGTATGCAAATGGTGCTATCGAAATGAGAATGAATATGTTTCACATCTCTTTGTTGGTCCCAACATTGGTGAACGGTCTCATGCAAAATCTAGGGTAAATGAGAATGAATATGTTTCAACATTATCTTGTTTGTGACTTCAGTTTTACCCAATTAATCCATTTTTTTGTTTCCATTTCTTCTCGGTGTTTGATTTGGAATGGTTAAAGAACTTGTGACGTTGCATAATATAAAAATTTGAAACTTTTCTCCTAGAAATATTTTAGTCTTATGCAAATATGTTACAATTTATTGAGTAAAAGCATCACAACGTTATTTGGTTTTCTTGTTTTTAGATATAAAAACAAAACAGTTGCTATTAAGATTGTTAAAAAAGGAGAATCTTCTGAAGAGATTGCAAAAAGAGAGAGCAAAGAGGTCTCTATGTTCATGTTGTCTAGAGTTTAACTTCTTTCTTTCTAAAAGAGTTGGGTTATAGACAACACTACAAACGTTTTGATTCGATTTTCTCGTGTTTGTGTGGATAGTTCATTGGAGTTTGCAAAGAACCAAGAATGATTATAGTCACTGAAATTTTACTTGGAGGTACATTGCGTAAATAACTTGTGAGTTTGCATCCAGGTCGTTTGGACACATATTTAGCTGTTGGGTTTGCTCTTGACATTCCTCGTGCAAAGGAATGCTTACACTCTCTAATGGTGTTATTCATCGTGATCTCAAACCTGGTAACCCAGTTTATAAAAAACCAAACCACACTTTCTAAGAAAAAGAACTTCATTAATCTGTTTGAATTGCAGAGAACTTGATCTAGCAGATTTCAGTTTAGCTAAAGAAGAGTCATTTGTTGGGATAAACTTGAAAGAAGCTTGAGAGAGAAGCAATCCTGATCCTAAAGAGATAATGATGTAGTGAAGAGATAATGATGAGACTAGGATATACCCACTTATGAGAATAATAGGATTAGGATTGTAAGCATCTATATATAAAGATGTCGAGAGAGAGATGAAATTTGTGAGAGATTTTGTGATTGTGAGAAGCTTAAGGTTTTGAGCTAGTTTTCTTAAGAAATAAAGTGGGAGTTCTTTTGATTTCGTTCTTAAACTTTTATGACAATATTTGGTATCAGAGCCATGGGAGATATCGTGGTCGCGAAGCCGAAAGAAGGAGGATCATCCTCGATTAAGTGTCATATTCTTAGGACAACCAACTACACCGTGTGGGCTATGAGAATGAAACTTTTACTCAAGGTGCATAGGGTTGGGGAGGTTGTTGAGACCGAAGTAGCAGAGGATGAGAAGAGTAATATGGCTATGGCTCTCATATTTCAAGTTATACCTGAGTCGCTGATATTACAAGTTGGGGAGTTGTCAACTGCCAAGAAGGTATGGGGCGCAATTTGGACTAGGCATGTGGGAGCTGAACGAGTTATAGAAGCGCGTCTACAAACCCTAGTTGCAGACTTTGATCGACAGAAGATGAAAGCTACCGAGACAATCGAGAAGGGTAACGACGCTAACCGCCTAAAAATCAACATGATCATCGGGGAATCGCAATACTACAACGACACCATTTCGTCTATAAACTCCTACCAACGCAAAGCCGAAACCAGCTCGAGTTGGAAGGTGCCGACGGATGACCCACCGAAAGGAGTGATCTCATTCAACGATGCTGAATCCGGCGGAATCGACCAACCTCACGCCGATCCTCTTGTCATCGATTTAGTAATAAGCGATTTAGAAGTCGCTCGGATCTTGGTCGATACCGGGAGTACTGTCAATGTGATCTTCCGCAACACGCTAGCACGCATGGGAATCAACCTCTCGGAAGTCGAGCCGATTCCAAAACCGTTGACTAGTTTCTCCTGCGAAACGTCAATGACCCTGGGATCAATCCGACTACCGGTCGCCGCAAAAGAAGTGACGAAAATCGTTAACTTCGCGGTAGTCGATTTCCCGGCTATCTACAACGTGATTATGGGCACACCTTGGATAAATTCCATGAAGGCGGTCCTATCCAGGTATCACTTAGGCATCAAATTCCCGACGCCTACGGGAGTCGCAGTAATTTGCGGATGCCAAAGACAATCGCGATCTTGCTTCCTTGCCGAACATAAGCTGAGGCAATTGGCGGTCGCGATCGTGAAACCAAAATGGGTAAAGGTCACGCCACCGCCCGCAGAAGACGACCCAAAGCAAGAAACGGCCGAGAAACCAGAAGTTTCCGCACCCATCGCTTCCACCCGACTGGAGGAGACAATCCCGGACAAAGACATCGATCCCGCAACTGAAGCGATCGAGAAGTTTGCGACAGCCGAGTAAGCACACTCGCGAAAACAATCAGAACTACGAGATGGCTTGATTTCCGAAAGGAATACGTAGTCAGCTCGCCTAAAGACGAGTTCAGCTATCCCCCCTTCCAAAGCGGGGGGGGGGGGGGGGGGGGGGGGGGGGGGGGGGGAGTGGGTGAGTATACGAGTATTCGTATACTCCCAAAATGTTTTAATAAATTTCTTTTAGCTTTGTAATCGAGAAATTTTCGAATTTTTTAATAAAGAAAAAGTTAGAATATCTCCGATACTATCGAAAAACGCAAATCCGGAAAATCGCTTCCGCTGTAACAACTATTTAATCGTTTCTCTAAAAAAACTCGCATATCAAAATATTTTCGGAAAGAACTGGCGAGACGTCACCAAAACTCTCAAAGAAAAATATTTTCCCAAAGTCCGTCCGCGACTATAAAAACACGAACGTTCGGCGATTGGCCCCGTCGAGCACGCTAGCCGTCCTAAACAAACGCACCGACCTATCCGTCCGCATACATCCGACGAGGATAAAATAGCGCGCTATAAAAGAAATCCAAATATTTGGTCAGCACTTCCGGGCAACTTAGAAATTGTTCCCGGTGAGATGCGCGGTTCCAACCAGACGAATCGTATAAGCCGAGAATCTATCGCGGATTCTAAATCGGTATGGAATCAGGTTAAAATCACAACGGGGAAAACGAAAGCCGACTAGTCATCACACAGCCCCAATCCGAAAGTAAACCTAGGTCTTGCCCTAAACCCAGCACACTGGTCGTTTACGTCTCAAGGCATGAATCGAGATCCTAAAGGCATGTCTCTTCGCCCACATCTAAACACTCGCGAAAATTGAAATCTCCCGAGTTAACAAATCAGACGATTTACACCAAAGAGTTAGATACGAGATGACATCAAACGCGGACTGGTCAACCCCGCCATCCACGTCCGGGATCCCAGGTCCAACTTCTACCGAATCCGGTGACACCACGATAGGGTCCCACTGATCCCACATATGCTTCCCAGGATTGGCGGATCCGTTCTTCTTCTTCTCTCTCTTAGCTAGACACTTCTTCTGCTTCGCAATCGCAGCCTCATACGAATAATCCAATTCCTGGGTAAGATGCAAACCCCAAGTACGCCCCGACACTCGCAGAAATTGCCATTCGCTCTTTGCGCATCTTCAAATTTCGCGTAAAGAGGCACGAACCGCTCGCACCGAGCCATCAACTCCGCAGCAACCTCTCTTTTGCATGCCCTACGAGCACGGCGAGCCATCTTGTCAGAAAGTTCTAAGCTTCGACGAGATTCAGCTTCATACTCCTTTCTCACACGAGCGGCCTCCGTTGCAGCCAAATCTTGGGCACGAGAGAAACTGGCGTCGATCTCCCCTCTGATACGAACAGCCTCCGCCTCTGCCGCTGCAACCCTAGATTCCGCCCTGAGAAGTTCCGCACTATTCGCGCTCACCGCTTCGCTCATAAAGCGAAGACCCTGCGAAACGGAACAAACATCCTTCATAAAAATATATATACATAATAATAAAGAATAGGCAAACCTTGTTGAAAAGCCTCGACGCTTTCACAAACGGTGTGTCGCCTGGTCCTCGGGATGACGTCTCGGCCGGATCAAATTCGGAGGGCGAGAAGTCAATAAGATCTTCGATATTGATATCTTCGTCAGATGCCCGACCGCGATTGATTGGAACCTCTCTATCCTGCGGAGATCTGGACCTTTCCCTCTCCTCCGCATCATCGCCCACCTTAAAATCAGCATGACCGTCACGACAAAAACCGGACGAATAATAGGCGACGGCACGACGGATCCTTTTCGGAGAAAAATACCCCCAATGAACCGGGCCGCCACGTAGAAGATTCATAACCTTCGGAAAATCCTCAAGCATCGGCGTCGGGAGGGCATGCACTGCGAAACAAACGAAAAAGTTAAAACCTATATCTATATAGATATGGGTATCACGTTAATGGAATACCGTTTGTCACCCGCACAGCCCTAATCAAAGGAATACAACTCTCCTCCACCGATGCGCTGTCAATTTTGACATAAATGAATCGGTAAATCCAATCGTGATCATTCGTGGCAAGCCCGCCAACAACCATCATATCCCGCTGGGGGCTAAGTAAAAACCATCCTTTCTTCCCTTGAACGTCAACATAGAAAAAATATAATCCGCATCAAGGGACATTCCGTGTTCGTATCCCAACACCAGAATCCCGATAAGATGTTGCAAGCCACTAGGGCGTAGTTGGCCGAATGGTACTCCAAACCTGTCCAAGAATTCGAAAATGGCTCGAGGAATAGGGAACCATAGCTGGCAGGTCAACAGAAAGGCTTCGTAGCACGTAAAATAACCCGGAGGCGGATCCTCGGCACCCTGACCCTGAACAGGGATGCGAAACTGAACCGACTCAGGGATCGCATAAGTATTTCTCAAATATTTGAGAGAACCAACAGTACTCGTGCTCATGCCAACTGTTCTCTTCCGAGGTTTATTTCTCTTCGGAACCAAGAAATTCGAAGGCGGCACCTCAGCGGCGCTCACGGCTAAATAGTAATCTGCAAAGTCTTCCTTGGTCGTAAAGAAACGTTGAAATACCGGCTCGGGAAGAAGACAGCCACTGGAAATATCAAGGTCGCTCGGATCAAAGATTGATGCATGAGCATAATCTGAAACTTTCCGTCCAAAAGACATGTTGGATAGTCGAAAGAAAAAGGATCTGAAGGAAAAAGTAGAGAGAAGCTTTCCTAAAACTTGAGCAAGTTATGGAGGAGTGAATGAAAAACTTGTAAAACTCACTCCATATACTTATAGGGAAGAATTTTACTATTCACCTTTGGACTTTTAGCCATTAAAGTTCTGCCTAATTCTACCAAACTAGCCAAACGAGCTCAATCCACTCGCAAGAACCTCACGATTCTTACGAGCTGGGGGGCTAACTGTTGGGGTCAAAATCGGTACGCCGGAATTATTGGCCAAAACTCCCCGCAAAAATACAAAAGGAATAGTTTTATAAAACCCGATGAGTCGTTTTATAAAACTCAAAGAATCATTTTATAAAACTCGAGAATCGTTTTATAAAACTCGAGAAGCCGTTTTATAAAACTCGAAGATCGTTTTATAAAACTTAAAGATCGTTTTATAAAACTCAAGAAGCCGTTTTATAAAACTTAAAGATCATTTTATAAAACTCGAAAATCGTTTTATAAAACTCGAGAAGCCGTTTTATAAAACCCGAAGATCGTTTTATAAAACTCGAGAATCGTTTTATAAAATTCAAAGAATCGTTTTATAAAACTCGAGAATCGTTTTATGAAACTTGAGAAGCCGTTTTATAAAACCCGAAGATCGTTTTATAAAACTCGAGAATCGTTTTATAAAACTCGAGAATCGTTTTATAAAACTCGAGAATC